AAAGAAGCCATATTCTCGCTAAAAATCGTAAATAAAAGTGATAGGGAAAGATCGGATGGACAAAAATAATACAAAAATTACATTGTTTTATAAAATGCCACGCAGCACAGGTCCCACTTGCCGGAGTGACTAGCGCGAACTGAGGGTCGGGGCAGGATGAAATGGCGTCGTGTAGCATATTGTTAGCTTTTCAAAATATAGCATAATTCGCCGGGAATTTGAATCCTACGGTCTTGCCCCATCACCGATCTTACCCCAACGTACCTTACAAAAATATGTATAAAAAAAAACCAAAATAAAGAACGCACACTTATACTAGTAATTAATTAGATAAAAAATAAATGACGAATATGTACCGCAGTCGCTAAACGTTTGGTTGCGGCTCTGCAGGTCCGGAGGTTCGTTCCCGCACTAAACAAGTGTTTCTATGTTGTAAAATAAATAGTCTGCGTCTGAATACTTGTTTATATCGTAAGATTTTTTTAAATGGTTAAAAGGTTTGGTTTGATTTTTGGTTAGAAGCATTAATTAAAAATAAATAGAAATATAGAGTCAGTGCCAGATTAAACAAGCGCGGGGCCCGTAGTAAATTCTATCGAGGGGCCCTTGATCTCAACTAAGAATCTACAATTTGTTTGAACCGGGGCAAAAACTTGATAGTGGCGCCTCTTCTCTCCGGCGTTTGAGATAAATTGTTAAAAAAACTTGCACCCTTTATTACCTATTAGCTAATAACTTTTTCATTTGTGTGACGTAAAATTATATATAGAAAACATATAACCAGGAAAGACAACAGAAAATCTAGACATTTAGGAACTTTAAGTCTCAGCATTTTTTTCTCTCTAATCTTGCTACAGTTTTACACGGCGTGATTTATTTTCAATGGCTAGAATCGCGAGGTCAGATAGACATTCATGGCTCATTGTTGAACGCATATAGGTTTTAATTATTTTCAGTTTACTGAAGCTTCGCTCACAGCTTGCAAAGTGTCGTAGTAATGTGCAGTATACTCTTAAATAATTTATTAATTTTATGATGAACTAAGGATAACAAATTATTAAAAAAAATATATTTTTTTAATAATTTTTTAACGTTGATTATTTACAGAATTAATAAATCTTTTAAATTAAAATTTCCGCCATTAGATGTTGCCAACAATCTGCTGCGCTGCAGCTGCTGGCAGAGTGAATGCTGAATGAATCCTTAGGATGTGTTCAAAAACCAACTGGGCGTTTTAAAATCAAGTAATTAATTGATAGAACGTGCGATGGATATTAGGCACTTGGTGATGCAAGTTTTTTTTCAACCATATTATATTATAATCTTGGTGCCCCCTGAAACTGCTGCCTGGGGCGGGTGCCCCGGTTTGCTCCCCCTTAGATACGGGGCTGCTTGATCTACTATGGGTTCTTAAGTATAAAGTGGTAAAATACAATTTAACACTTAATACGTTTATTTGCCATCTATTAGGTTACAATAATTTGTTGTTTTTAATAGTAAAGTAGATTACTAATAGGCTCTATTAGACACTGACGATTACAAAAAGCCAGAGATGAGATTTGTCCTGGCAATTTAGAATGATTTTGATAAGAAACTAACAATTAAAAACTGACGATACTACACAAATAATTATAAATCTTTTTAGTAAATATTATAAACAAGGAGCTCAACAACCCTATTGAATTTTATTGTTTATCAAAACTTAGTAATATAAAGCCAAACATGTTGATAATTACGATATTAAGATTAGTAACAAATTTTAAAGTACCTATATTATCAATTAGTCTTAATTTGTTTAATATTAATTGGAAATTTACTTACTTGTGGAATATTATCCCACGTATCTTTTGGTAATGAGTTTTACATATTACGTACACTCATTATTACTAAAAATAATTCTTATTATGTAACTAAGCTCAAACATACTCAAACTACACAAAACACTTTCATTTTTTAGTTTAAAAGTTCAAAATACCGAGATACCATTTAAATAACACAACAGACTCTGGAATATTGTCATTTTTAGTTCCCGGTACGTACAATAAGGGCGCTTCTAATCGACAGAAGCATTTTGTATCATATAGCCAGTCCAGCGTACTTGTATATATAGAGGTCTGTGATAGAAAAGCAATGTCTCTTCGCAAGGGTAGTTGATCAAGCCGATCGGAGTCGGGGCCGCTTTTCGTTGGATACGGTTAAGTGAAAGGAGCTGATACTGAGATGAGAACAGTGTTCCTAATGAGGCCGAACCTACGTTTTGTAAAGCTCCAAGCGGTGGTTCAGCATGAAATACTGTCTAGATCCACTGAGCACACCTAGCTTTGTTGATGCCAGTTTAGCCTTCCCTTCCAAGTAACGGAGCGTAAACGTCTCTCGAATTGGTGAAGCCAAGGATTTCGATGTTGGCTGAGGCATCGAGGGGAGTGTCCTGAAATCGATTAGATACGACAAAAGTGTTTTTGCGGTAAACGCGCAAACCTTTAGGGGTTATTCTAGACTAGGTTTAGTCGCCCTCAATTCGACACTTTGTTTAACAAAGACTCCAATTCAGACACAATTTCGTTACGGCACTCGACGACGTGTTCCCGAGAAATATAAACACGGCTAGTGTATAAGGCATCGCCAGTGCTGTGTCTGCATAGCAATGAATGTTACTAGTATGCAACATATTATTAATATGCAGAAGGAACAGGGTAGGCGAAAGAATATATTCAATATAATCTATGATAGAAGAATAGATGTGTTATGTGTAAATGAGACGAAACGGAAGGGAAAGGATACCACTATACATGGCATGTATACTGCCTACTGGTCTGTTGTTGACGAGACCGAGTGGGCATTGTGTGAAAGAGTATGAATGTGTAAGCCCGAGACTAAGGAAAAAGCAAGAAATAATTGATAAGTATGATAGAAGTATATAGAGTAACTTCCAAGCTAATATTAAAATGTTCTGGAAACTCGTAAGAACTGCCAGGGGATATTTATAATCTAAATTGTAAAGAGTCCCATAGAGAAAAATTTAAAGAAATAAACATATTAACTTTGGCATCGCAATATATTTATGAAAATGTAATGTATGTACATAAAAACATAAATAGCTTTAATAAGAATAAGGATGTTCATACCTTAAACACTAGGAACAAACATAAGCTTGTAATGCCACTTACTAGACTCCACAGAATTAGTAATTCATTTATGGGGCAATGTATACGCTTTTACAACAGAATCCCAGAATATGTTCAAAGTTTGTTAATAAACAAGTTTAAAAGTTTTATTAAAGAAAAACTGTACAAAAAGGGTTATTATAATATTAAGGAATACATGAATGAAAATAACCCCTGGGAATAAGGTGATCGCCACCATGCTGGTTCTATGAAAATTCATTTAAAATTGTATAAACAAAATTATTGTTAAGTGAAATTATGTTAAAAAAAAAGTCCCGCTGGGTTTCTTGCTGGTTCTTCCCAGGACAGAGGTATTTTCCGAACCAGTGGTAAATAAAATAATGACTTTTAATAAGTATTATGTAATAATCCATATTGAATAAAAATCATTCTATTCTATTCTATTCTATATTCAAAACAGCCAATAATTAATGCTATACGAGACCAAAATGGCTGTATTCTGAATGAGGAAGTTTCGAGCTTAAGAAGAGGGAAGGAAGTCATGAGACCTTAAGGTACATCTATGGTCGTTTTAACACTGATTTAAATAATTGCAAACGGAGACAAAATAAATACATGCGAAGTCGAGCAAGTCGAGTGACGCACTAAGTTCTCTTTTACATTTAGCTCTTCTCTCTCTCTCACTTACCCAATTCAGACCCCTCTTTGTCTAATATAACACAAAAGACAGCAGGTAGTAAATATGAAGGTCACACGACCCATTTCACGCTAGTAAAGTAACCATTTTAACATTTAAATTGGTTATTTTATTACATTTAAATAAGTTAATTTCTAATATTTAATTTGGTTTCAATTTGTTTAAAAATAGCTGTTTTCATGTATGATCAACTCCTGATGTGTTTTTATTAATTCCCAATGATCAGAGACAATTCAATTTAAAAAAATGTTCCCATATTACAAATTTTGTTACTTAGTAAATTTTTTTCCTTTTCGACATTAATGGCAATAAGTCACTATTTATGGAAGATACATTTATGAATTATACCACTATAAAATCTACACGAAACTGACATTATTGTAAAATTATTGGTCACCCATACATTCATACATTTTTTTCATACCCAAGAGGTTTGAACTTCGCTTAAATAATATGTTTTGCATGTTTTTAAAAAATAAATTGATTTGCGAATTTTTTAAATAAAAACTGCAAAATCTATTTATACTATTTACTTATTATCTATCAGCACAGTTAGTGTATAATAATAAAACAACAAAAAGACCAATAGAAATCATTCGTTTTTGGTCATATTGTCAAGGCAGTAAAATAAGATAGAAAAAAATCGACTTTTCTTTAAAAAAATATATATCAAAGGCACTACTTGTGATATATTATGTTTCGTATTTTTTTCAGAACGGCCATAAGTTGTACTATAAGACATTTCAAGGTTATCCATTCATTACCGGACACCTGATATATAAACTAAAATTACTTAATAATAATAAATATATACTAAAATATTTTAGTATCGAAAAAAAAAGTATCGAGTACTTCCTCGTATTTATTTGTATCGAACGAATCGGCAATTCGGCAAAAAGATAAATAAATATTTTGATAAATATGTACTAGGCAACACAGATTTGCCATTTGCCAACCAAAGACTACATACAACTAAGTCTATGACATACAATATTATATTGCCAGTTCTTTTTCTTCTGTCTCACACTCTCACACAAATTACAAATTGTACATTTTCAATAAAATGGTTTGATGTTAACCAAAGAATACCTATAGTAATTATTTACGGAGTATAGCCGAGGAATTGAGTAATGTTTAAATTATACTTTAAAAGGGAAAGTTAAAAGAGTAAAACAAAAATGAGTGTGTTTAAATCAGCAATGGGGTACTTCAGTTCTGGAGGTGCCAACGGAGGCAGTGATAATGATTTTGTTGGTCAATTTGTTGAAATCGGTAATATGAAACTAAGAGTAAAGAAGGTTATAGCTGAAGGTAAGTAGGGAAAATAGCATAGTGTCTTAAAGGGTCTTCTTAATATTTAAAGCACAATATTTGCCTGGTCCATAAGGTGTCACTGCTTTCCACGTAATAAGAAGTTGGGGGCGGAGAACTAGAATAAAATTATTTTCATATCCTTAATTTCTTTTTATATTTCTAGTAAGAAAAGCCTACAAGGTAGAGGTTCTTAGTATTGGTAATTCTATAGCAGAAAATAAAAGATTATCATATTATTACTTTATTTTCTTTTTCTAAATAACAACTTAATTTTCACATTTTATTATTGTATAAAAAAAGTTTTAAAAGTGAAAAATAAAACTTCTCATTTAAATTCTTGAATACCAACTAACCAGTAAAACATGTTTTATAGCAATCATGAGAATGTTTTCAATGGGGCACATTTAAAATTTATTAATAATGTTAACTTAATCTCTTTAAATAAAAATCAATTGCTGTCCTTTAGTCTCGCAAAAACTCGAAAATGGCTTAACTGATTTTGATGATTTTTTGTGTGTTTAAAAGTCAATTAGACCCGGTAGGTGGAGCTGTTATTGAGGTTCAGAAATCACCCGTGTAAAGCCTAAGTACTAAATAAAAATGCACACCTTTGCATTTTCTCTTAAATCCATTATTCAATATTTAACAAATGGCACACATACAACATCAACTTGTTCCCAAAAAAAGTCAATTCTGTGTTGCAAAAACTATGTTAAATTACTTTTACAGCATATTTTGGTTGATTATAAGTAGAAATATGGTATTTTTATCAATAAATGTGATGAAAATTTCTGTAAATTTGCTATAACATAGCAGATGGAAAATGTTTTGATGAGCTTTCAGTGTTAAAAGTCGTTACAGTATTTACACTATATTAGGTGTTTGGAAGATTTTAGTGCCCATATCCAATACATAATGGTGATTTAAATATGGCAACAGCAAATTATTATTTTATATTTGTATTACTATTTAAACACTTCCACTATTAATTACATTTGGAAACTACAATAACACAAATTATCATCAAAACAGTATCATGTAAATCAGTGGTTCCCTAACTTACTTCTGACGCGCCAAAAAAAACCAAAAAAATTTCTACCAAATAAATAATTTTCTCCCAAAAAAATATATCTACGCCCCCTTGTTCAGATTATTTTAGATTACTATCAGGTTAGAAAAAAGTAGTTCTGTACAATAACATCAAATTTTTAATGCTTAAAAGTTACATAATATCATACAAAAACTACTTAATTATATAATATTACTTCTTATTTAATCAAATGTAGATGAATAAGATTGCATGGTTTTAACAAGGTTTCCGATTCACGGCTTAACCACAGAAATCGCACAACGCAAAGCACTATCAATGTTACGAGTAAGTTATTTTGGAATAAATTGTGAAATATTTGTTCCAAAACATTCTTTCACCAATTTTTTCGGTGTACATACACTGCACCTTCCTACGGACGTTACTGGATCGTAAGGTCCCTAAGTATGCAGCTAGCTCATGCCGCCTTTGCAGGTCTCTGCGCCCCCCCTGGGTGGCGCGCCCCCCACTTTGAAAACCCCTGATGTAAATCAAACGGCATACAGGTGTACCTGACAGGTTTACCAGTACAGTTGAACTGCACAGGTAAACTGGAGCCTGTATGTTGCATAACCGGTACATGTATGTCCTCTACTTAGCTCCAGCTTACCTAATCATGTAACAGTGCAGGGGTGGTGAACCTTTATATATTAATGTACCATTTTTCTAAAGAAATGTTAATAAGGAAATAGACATGCCGTAAAATAATTTTTATAATACTCCATAGCTTGGGAATACTGGCATTTGTTTGTAATGAAATACTTCATAGTGAATTTTGTGATCAGTAGCGTGCCCAAAATATTGTCGGGTCCCATTGGTTCGCCATCCCTGCCCTAGTATGTAGGGCTCCCTTAAAATATAAAATTTTATAGTACAAGATATACTTGAAGTAGTGGAGTCGGCTACAGTACTGCATTAAAGCTGTGACGTATGTTGTTGATATCAACATATACATCACTTATTAATTGTTACCAAAATGCTGATTAAGATTATACATTTGAAATACTTTTTATGTTGCTATTATACCATAGTTGTAATGGCTACTTTAAAAATTCCTTATTATAACTTATTAATGAATAAAATTTCTTAACAGACTACTTTGCTGGTTGGGATGGGTATGCTTGTTGTTGTTGGGATATGCAGTAGTTATTAGAAAATATAATAATAATTAAGACAGTTGACAAAAACAAAATTGTTTCAGTATAGATTAGTACTATCGTAATTACTTATTGCATTGCAGGTGGTTTCGCTTTTGTATTTGTTGCACAAGATGTTTCTACAGGAACTGAATATGCTTTAAAAAGGCTAATGGCAGCTGACGATCAAGCAAACAAAAATATCATACAAGAGATTAGTATATTAAAAAAATTATCCGGACACCCTAATGTAATCAAATATATTGCTGCTTCCTTTATTGATAAGTCGAAAACCTCTCACGGTATGGGAGAGTATTTGTTACTAACTGATCTTTGTAGTGGAGGTAGCTTAATGGAGGCTCTGCAAAATAGAGGACAAGCTTTTCCTCTTCCAACTATTTTAAGGGTATTTTATCAGACATGCAGGGCTGTGCAACATATGCACAATCAAGTGCCACCAATTGCACATCGTGATCTCAAATTAGAAAACTTTTTAATATCTAATGAAGGTAATTGCTTAATTCGGTGTTCATTACTATTACTATTATTAACTAACAATATTGTATCAGTAGAATTTTTTTTTATGATTATAGGATATACAAGAACTTTGGTATTCAGATTAACGTAGGAAGATTACCATGCTAAATTTTCCCAAGCTCAATCCTTTCCAAACTATTAGTGAGTTATCAATAATAATTTGCCAAGCCACTATAGATACCCAATACACTCAAACATTAGCTAAATATTTCAAGGGTTAATAGAAAAATACACAGTAATTAAGAAGAATAAGTATTAAACTTAATTTTCATTTGGTCTATTTGTTTTAAAATGAAGAAAAGGAGAACATTGCCCATGCCCCTAAAATTTTACTGAATATCTCACACATTTAGAAGGGTCACCATAATGGATGACACCATGGTAATTGTGGTATTATGTGGTTATGCAAGATTGATATTGTTCCCCATCCATAGTCTGGGCTAATCTAGGCATGTACAAGATGGTACTGGTGCCATCTGTCTTTGTTGCCAGTTAATTCTAACAAAACCTACAGGTTGAGATAAGTGATGGATTATTAAATACTGAAAACACTTGGTAATATTAAGTTCATTTGTTCATTCATTGCAGACTATCAAATGTCCATTGTTGAACATAGGCCTCCCCCATAGGTTGCCCTTATAGGGGACTCTTATATTTGCCGAGACAAGAGTATATGGGGTAGTGGATATTCTTACACTATTTCTCACTACCTGGGAAATTACTATACTAAAATATTTATTAAAGTTTAAGTTATTTATTATGCTAATATTACTTTTTTGATCTATAAGAAAGAGTGACAAACAAATACAGTCCACCTGATGGTCACCATCAGTAGCCCATTGACACCTAAATCGATTTTCAATTGAAAATCAACATGCATGTTATCATCCCTGAGTTTTGAGATGGCATACTTTGTTCCTTTTTTTTAAAGGGTCTTCAGCTCTCATCACTCACCACATGAAACACAGCATCAATATGCAGCTATTTCAGTCTAGCAATTTATGCTTCTATGATCCTTTTTCAGTTGAGCCGCCTCAGTAATGCTGCAGCTACTGCTACTGCTTAGAGAAGCAATGTCTTTAGTTTTAATTTTATTAAGGGATTTGAAATCAAATGGTGTCAGTACAAAAGTGTAAACTAAATGAAACAAAGATTTAAAATTTATTTCATATTATAGGATTCAGCATAATAATTACAGCTCCACACTGCTAATATACTGCTGAATGTAACTGTGCCTTCACCCAGGATATCAACCCATCAACTTGCTACTTGGACTGCTATGTTACTATTCCAAGATTATATTTAATAGATAAGCTGTTCCCTCAATTTTTTTCAAATAAAATTATGCTGACAAAGGAGCACACAGTCCACCCAATGTTAAGTGGATGCTGTTGTCCATTGACATTTACGTCTATCCTCAATTGAAAATCAAAATGCAGATAAGCTGTTACCGCTGAGGACAAAAATTGAATGCCCTGTTTCCAATAAAAGGTGTTTCCCGTTCTCTATACTCACCATAAAAACACAGCAGCAATAAGCTGGTATTCTGTGAGAATGTGGTCCTTCCTCAGTTGAGCTGACCTATTCTTGTTACAATCATAATATAGCTACAGCATGGCTTTACCACATACAATGCAAATTCTATTACTTTCAGTCCAGTTTTATTCATGTTTATTTGACAACACTGTCTAGTTAGCTCCTCATAAATTCCATAACTATCTTTGTATGTTTCTTCTATATTTGTAATTAAATGTTTCATAAAAGAAACTCCTTATGAGATGAACAATCTCAGTAAGGCATATATTTAATGATCAATCAGTGTTTTATCTACAAGTTAAAAAAGGAAATTATCTTAACCTATTTTCCCCATCACTATATCAGTGATTGATTTTCTTGCGGTGTGGTGCTTGGGGCATGAATCGTAATTCAATTTATTTTTTATCTTGCATAATTTTTATACAATTTTGTATTTTAGTAATAAAGCATGTGTTTTAGGTACAATTAAATTATGTGATTTTGGATCAGCCACAACTGATGTTTACTCTCCTAACCCTTCTTGGAGTGCAAATCAAAGAAATATGCTAGAAGAAAATGTAAGTATTGTCCTTACTATTATCATACTATGATCATAAATATACATTAACACTTAAATACCTACATGCATTATTACCAGATAGCTAATTCAGAAAGGAGTCTAACACTGAAAAATAATTAAGAAAAACATTTAGTGTTAATTATAAAAGGATTTTGATAATTATTTAATATACATGTACATTTGAACATACATAATGGAGTATTGAGTGGATTTTTTACTGTCATAATAATAGTCAATTGGAATCAATTATGCGAAATTCTCTTTAATAGCTTTGGTAATTGAGGGATGACGACAATGGGCACAACTCTTTAGCATTATTTCTGTTATATATTCGCATAATTATTTCGAACATGTCACGACTTGAGACAAGTCAGGTATGGTCAGATCCATTTTATAAAAATCCTTGGTTCTTTATAATATGGTAATTTACCCTTGATTTACGACCGTGCAATCCTATATTCAAATCTTGTTCAATAAGTTAAACTCAAATAAATGTCTAAAAACATGTGTTGTAAAGCGCATACGCGCATTTTTCAGAGGACTTTGTTATCGATAGTGAGAAAAACATAACAATTAAGAAGCTTACTCGCCTTGAGTAAGCTTCTTAATTATTTTTGCGGCAGTATTAATAGGCTAAATAACAAAGAACTGAAAATGTTAATAGTTGACTGACTTTTTTGCACGCCAGTGTAAGTATAAGTAATACCTGTCGTGAGAGTTGACTATGGGAAATGTCTGAGAAATGTTATGGCCCCTAATAGATATCTGCTTAACCAGCTTATATCCCATAAGCTAAGACTAGAAATTGGAAGTAATGTCAAATGTGAGAGACGACTAGTACCGCGATCGTTATATCAGCGATTTTGTATGTGGCCACGATAACTCCCGAAATATTGACGTATTGAGACTGTGTTCTTTATTAGCTTTTGTTTTCTTTTTTAATAGAAATAGGGTGACAAACGAGCACACAGTTCACCTGATGGTAAGTAGTTGCTGAGGCCAATAGACATCTACATCTCCTCGTTTGCGAATCAAAATGCAGATGCGTTGTCAGCCTTGAGGACTAAGATGGAATGCCTCTTTTCCAGTAAAAAGGGTCTCCGGTTCTCTACACTCACCATACGAAACACAGCAGCATTAAGCTGCTATTTTACGCTGGTATTCTGTGAGAGTGTGGTCCTTCTCCGGTCTAGCCGACCCATTCGTGCTACAACTATACTACTAATATAGCTGCAGCTTGGCTCTACCACGTAAATAACCTTCAGAATTACATCAATTGGTTCCCTATTTCATATCAATAGCCTATAATTTATAGTACGCGTATATAGTAAAATTATTTTTTATTTTTTCATAAGTATATCTTTCAATTAATAATTTCCATTTGATTCGATTTTATTTTTAGCCCTTGATAGACAAAGGACAAATGTATGATACATTTGTCCTTTGTCCTACAGCCTAAATCGAATTTATACTTTGTGTAATCAATTTATTTTGGTAATTTATTTTTTTCATCAAAATGAAATGAAACACTCATGAGGCGTGCATTTTTGGATTTTCCAAATATTTAATAAATCTGATCACTGAACTCATCTCTAGACTTCATTAAATATCATCAGATTTATTAAATATATCATTGAAACGTTGATAGGCAGACATTGTGTTCACTTGTATATAATATACTTATTAACAAGTACATTTATTCATTCATTACAGTCTATCAAAATTCCACTGTTTAACATGGGGCCTATCCCAAGCATTGCACCTCATTAGGAGGATATTTGCCATAGTTGCCACACTTAACAGATGTGTTGCTTAAAATGCTGCTGCCCATTTTCTTTTTCAGTTTCCCTCTGTCGCCTCTTACAACTCCCACGGGACGATATGGGGTAGTGGATATTCTTGTACCGCCATTACATGGTACAACAAATATGTGAATGTGAGGAAATTCATAAAAAAATGTCTAGTTATTTTAACGTAATCTAGCATTACACTTTATAAACATAGACATTTTAATTACACTCTTGATAATCTGTATGATGTGGCAGGCACAAATAAACCACAATCAGTTAATATTTTTGTATTTTTCAGTTGGCTCAATTCACCACCCCAATGTACAGAGCTCCAGAGATGCTGGACACTTGGGACAACCACAAAATAGACCATTCGGTCGATATCTGGGCTCTCGGTTGTATTTTGTACACTCTATGCTACATGCAGCATCCATTCGAGGACTCAGCAAAGCTTGCAATATTGAATGGAAATTATAATATGAACCCGAATGATCAGCGAAATAAATGTTTTCAAGAGATCATAAGTAAGTATCACACATGCTTTTTAGTACCTTAGTTCTTATATAAAAAAAAATGTTATTCCTGTTTCGTGTTTCGAATAGAAAGTAGTTTCTAGGAAATTATCTAATTTTCGAATTAACCTTTAAATGCCTATAAACGGATTCCACTGTATTATCTTTTTGTATATACAGTAGAATCCGTTTATTATGACCCCACTTATACTGACCAACCGCTTATTAATACGTAATTACCAGCGAAGTTTGGTTTTCATACAAAATTCTTTATAATAAAGTCTGATATAATGACTTTGCTTATAGTGATATGTCGCTTATTGTGGCCCATTTTTACTAAATTGTGTTTGGTTATAGTGACTGACATTAATCCCAAAACCTTCGGCAGTGTTCAGGAGAGTCAATTGATACCCGACAACATTCGGCGCGTGCATGGCCTTTTTTTGGTTTTGTCTCAGTGGGTAATTGATTGTTGAAGGTCACGGGATTGTTTGTTAGTGATTTGTGAAAAAAATTAAATCTCAACGTCAGTGCACGTGCAGTTTAGAAAATGGACAATTCAACTCATCTCTCGCAAGGGAATTTGGGGTTGATCACTCGACAATCTCAATGATTTTTAAAAACAAGAATTTATTATTAAGAATATCAGTTACTTTAATTAAAGATTTTTCTCTATTAAAGGTATGTATTTATACATACTAACAAAAACTTGATATTGTTTATTTTCTACAAAATGCTTTATATGACATCCGCTTAGTATGACGTGTTTGTTATTTCCCTTCGATGTCATTATAAACGGATTCCACTGTATTACTATATCTGTATGTTTAATATGAGTTGTTGACATACGCTCAGACTAACCGTACCTTAATTTCACTGTTATTTCTTAAAGAGTTCTCGATTAAATTACTTGTAAACTCCACAGACCAGTTGCGGGTATCGCGTGTGGCAACCATGCATAGTCATATGTAATATTATGTCCAATTTGTCCACAGGTGGTTGCCTAACGGTGAACCCCGAGGAGCGTTTGACGATAAGCGGCGTGCTGGAGCGGTTGGCGGCGATAGCTGAGTCCAACAATGTCAATCTGAAGCAACCACTCAAATTTGAGCGTAAAAAAGTTGAACAATCTGTGGCCACTAGCTCGCCAGGTAATAAGAAGTCAAGTAAATATTACACTACCATATCCTAAGAATGTGTCCGTCGCGGCGCATTTTGTATTTATGATACATAATTTAAAAAAAAATTATAGCCTAAAACGTTTACAAAACGCCTATCGGTTCGAAACCGCGTTGCTCATTATGATCCATCTTTTTTGTTTTGTTGCAATAACGAATCGAGCTAATAATGGTCAAGTATTCTTTGACTTTTTACACTCAAATTTATTTCTCAAAATTTATTTATTTTTCTTTTGAGTTGTTTTCTATAGATTATTTAACAAAAAAAGACTTATGTGAGATATGTTTAACATTCCAATGTTTATTTCACCAAAAAATTACATCACCAAAGGTAAGGAAATGTTAACTAAACTATTCTCTGAATGAATTAAGGTAGTATAGCATTTATTTGACTTTATTCATATTATTATTTCCGATTAACTGTATTTTCCGTGGACGGGAAATGTGTTAAATAATCTTTTAATGTTAAATATAACACCATAATGCGAAAATGTATTGCTGAAAACAATTCCATAATGTGATATGTCAATAATGTTTTGGCAGGAAAAGTCACTGGTGCAATAAAAATTATTGATTATAAAAAAGGTAGTAATCTACAGAGCTTTAATTTAATTATTAAGTCTTAGAAAAACGGTACAGTGACAATCTAGTTTCACAAATTTCATTTAGTCAACAATAATATAGAACTATTTTCAACTATTTTTGTAGCTTTCGATTAGTAATAAAAAGACAGTAGGTATGCACATTTAAAGTGGGCGTTTAAAGTTTTATTACTCTTTAATAACTCCCATTAGACAAGTGTATTTTTATTAGTAATAACTTAGCTGTTAACATTCCTATATAAGGGGTTCATGAAATATAGGCTCCAAAAATGAAACTCTTTTAAATAATATTCAATAACTGCTATTTGTTAAAAGGTATTTTTATAAAATTATATAGCAGTGTATGGGTTATCCATATAATTATGATGTTTTACATATTTTTTTAAAATGTCAATAATTAAAACATAATTATCATTATAACAGTTTTCCAAGTCCACTGCTGAACATTAGCTTCATCCAAGGAATGTCACAAAACACGGACCTGAGCACCTGGAAAATCTTCATATGTATTCCATTAGGGATTTGTGTGAAAATTTTAACATTATGGATTTTTTAACTTACTGCTTTTTCAAAAGCTTTTTATTATAACTGTAACAATATAGCTCGCATTACAATTGTTATTTGGTTCCATTTACAATCGTTTATTATATAAGGAAGTCGGCATCTATCATCATAATATAAAATATAATAAAGTAGGAGTTGTTTCAATTTCAAACATGCCTTTTTGCTTCTCTTTCTTTTATGTCGATAATCCATATAAAAACTACTTGAGTATTGAAGCTAGTCTTTCACATAATAAACTGTATCTTGTTGAATCTGTCGGAAAAGAAGCAAAGAGAAAAAATGTATAAGCTTTTTTAAAATGTATAATTACTAACATTGGTTTAAAGTAATATTAGTGTTATAAGTTGCACTAACCCTGCGGGTGGCTTCGTAATCAGAGCACTGTCTTTATATTGGTGGGCAATTTAACAACGAAATGTCAATGTGTGTTGCTAGTCTTGAGGCTTGAAAATGTGTTGTCAGTTTCAACACATTTATTTAAAATTGTTCTTAAAATGTTATGTAATTTAAACAGAAGGATCATTTCTTCCTTCCAGACAAGACAATACTAAGAAACTTAACGTGTAGATTTGATAAGTATCATATTAAATGTTTAATTTTCTATTATTTATATTATATATATTTTTAAATTTATAATTTAGTGAATGTATTATCGTCATACTCTTGGAATAAATTTAGTTTCTCACTGTGCATAATTTGTTTAGAGACACATGGATGTGTGTTGGTTTCAAATAAACGAGTATATTATCATCACTCTTGATTTGTTTTTATTTTCAATACAGTTTTTGAGGTCACGAATATAGAAGGAATACTTTCAAAGTGGTCGGACTAATCGTTACACGGAGGACATGGGTAAAATAACTTCATACATTTTGCTTTGTTTCACTAACCATCGCTCGCAACTCACTAAATACTAATAACTTACATCTCACAATTTTCTATTGCACACTAATTGATTACAAATAATGGTACGTAATACAATTAGCGCATAACAACAACACGAGTTTATTGTATGAATATAATCACTTACTGCAAAATAGTTGTTTTCATAAGTAGTGAAACTTTTGCTAGTTTGTGTGAATAGGTTTTATGTCTCCATTAATAGTAATAAAATTTTTTGTAAGTGATGATGCAGTCTGTTAGTATTAATATGTATATTGTTAGATTTTTTTTTTCTTAACAATTAGATCAGAATCCAGTAATATATTAGTAACTATCGACCTGCCCCAGCTCTGCCTGGTTAGGATTTATAACGTGGCATTATTTAGATTCAAGATAAAGCCTATTTATTTTATATAGCTTTCGGTTTTTTTCTGCCGACTTCCAAAAAGGAGACGGTACTCAGTTCGACTATGTTTTTTTTTTATGTGTGTTACCTCATAACTTTATACTGGGTGAACCGATTTCGATGATTCTTTTTTTATTTGAAAGCTGGTACTTCTCGTGTGGTCCCATATGAATTTGATCAAGGTCAGACCAATCGTTTTTGAGTTATTCTTAATAACTTATATTGAAGTCGGCAGTACAAAATTTTTAATTATTTTATTAAGCTTTCGGTTTTTTTTTTTCAAAAAATCTTTAAGTTTTGCGGATAAAATATTACCTAGACATCACTCCTGGCATTGCTCTCTATCTGCTCGAGCAGTTTCATTACAATCGGCTGAGCCATTCCGTAGATTAGTTCGGACAAACAGACGGATAGACAAAAATTTTAAACATTCTTTATCATGTCTTAATGCATATAACCCAGTGAGGTCAATAAGAGGCAATTATTTAGATATTACAAAATGTATTATGCGTAGACCAAGAATACTCAAAACACTAGTCACATTTGCATTTTTTATATTGCATTAAATTTATCTTTGCGATAGCTTAGGAAAATAGTGACGGGTAGTTTTTTAAAATTGTATACTTGATACTGGGGCAATAATAGATAGAAAGGGGAAAAACACTAACATATTTAATTGCAATGTGGTTTTTTTCTTGATTTATTTTAAAAAAATCCGAACCTAACCGATTGAAAAATATTTAAAATGGCTTTATCCCTATTATACGTAGCGTGTCGTTCGTAAATTATCTCATACGATATTCCATACAGAGCTTTGGCCGAATGGCCTTATAGTAACACTACCTGACCACTGCGTCAGATGTCTCGGTCTCGATCCAAGTCGGAAGCAACATTACATAAACATAAATGTTTATTTTTGCGGCGGGTGCACTTGTAAAGCAATCTTCATCGTGACACTGCATGCTAGGCTATCTACGATCTTTCATAAGCGATCGTGTCGGGCGCAGGTAGGTTATGATGAGCGAGTGCCTCGCTTAGCGCGGGTACTTATCCCACTACATTAACCTGACTCTGTCACGTAGTCCTGTGAGTGTCGTCTTTGTCCTTAGAAATTCCAGAAAGATCTAATAGCTCCGAAAGATGGCTGTATAACTAGAACCACTATGAGCCAAGTGTTAAATATCACCGGAGACAAGAAGCAGAGTCATAAGGTGCGATATTTCTAGTAATCATGCGTGACGTGGCATAATATTAAGTTTCTCATCATAGCCATATTATATTATGGCGTTATGTAAAACATGCTATAACCACTTTGGTTTTTTTTTTCTTAAGTTTCCATTATAATCGGTTTTAGTTACTGCTAAACTACACACAGTTTGCAGATATTGGAAATCGCAATACCAAAAGCTTTGTAACTGTGAAGCCGGATCGTCGTCGATCTGGGCGTTTTGAATCTGACAATTCTATCAGTAGAATAATTTACTACACTTCAAAGTAAACGTACGGAGTTGCAGCATAGACTTTTTCGATAACATTTAAAATTCAAGCTACTTTGCACACGGCTAGAATTGGTGTTAAATATAAAAAAAAATATCTGGCACGACACAGTTCTTACGGTGCCACAATATGAAAGCGGATTCGCATAGATCTCGACGAGATACGCCGAAAAGTGAGAATAAAAATTTTCGATATTTCGCTTAGTTTCCGATATTAAATCCAGGAACTGTAGAAGCCCCAATTATCTGATTTGATCACACTGAGAGACTCGCAAGTATTTTTATGTTCTTGCAGTTTTCAGCAGTGTGCGAAATCAGCTAAATTTAATAGTTTATTGTTATCGAGTACGACTCTTTGGCACTGTTCCGTAAGTGTGTGGTCTGTGCGCTGCACTCGCATCACGAAAAGAGACAGTTCCTTAAGCAGTGTGACAGCGTGAAACACTACATGATACATGATACAATGGTGGAATGTTGTTCTTAAATATACGAAATTAAGACGACTCTAATGAATCACGTCATTCGCTTTCTTATTCCTCTTAGCGTTTTCCGCGTCCCGTATTGTGTCACAGTTGACTTTTATGTTAAAATTCTTTCATTTTTCCTTGGTCTTGAGCATCTTCTCTCTTCGACTTCCAGCCACCGTTTTTTAGTTTTCTGTGCAAACTGATTCAGTATGTTAACTGTTCCCAAGCTGTTTTCGCTTATCGTCGCATCTTACTTTTAGTGTGACATCTATACATGTCGTGTTGTGCTGTGAGGCATCTAAGAATTGGAGGACCCCGAGTATTTTTAAACAAAACAAATATGTAATGTTGATTCAATTATTTATTTTCAGACAAAATATAAACAAGAAACAAACAAAATTATATTAAAATATCGTAAGACAAAATTAAATTTAGGACATTTTGTCGATGACGGTAAAATCCAAATCTCATATTAAATCATTCTCAATGAGGATAATCTTAACGGGCGGTTTTATTCACATGTTGCGTATAAGCAAGTTTTAAATAAACTTACATG